TTCAGGTGACACTTGCGCATCATTATACAGCCCAACACTATGAGGGGCGCCGTCGAGAAGCCAAACTCGTCGGCGCCGAGCAATGCGGCCACCAATACGTCGAAAGCCGTCCGGATCTGACCGTCGCATTGGAGCACAACTCGGGACCGGAGGTCGTTGGCCACCAGCACCTGATGGGTCTCCGAAATGCCCAACTCCCAGGGAAGTCCCGCTCCTTTGATCCCCGTCCACGACGAAGCACCGGTACCTCCGTCGTGACCAGAGATGGTTATGTGTTCGGCCTTCCCCTTCGCCACACCGGCGGCCACTATACCGACGCCCACTTCGGACACCAACTTCACGGATACCCTGGCCTTAGGGTTGGAACACTTGAGATCATAGATCAGTTCCGCCAAATCCTCGATGGAGTAGATGTCGTGGTGAGGGGGCGGCGATATGAGTCCCACCCCCGGCACTGAATGCCTGGTCTTCGCAATTTCGATAGACACCTTATGGCCAGGGAGTTCACCCCCTTCGCCAGGCTTAGCTCCCTGAGCCATCTTGATCTGCAGCTCGTCCGCGTTGGCCAAGTAGGCGGCCGTCACGCCGAACCTCCCGCTCGCCACCTGTTTGATGGCCGACCTCTGGTTGTTGAGCGGATCCCTGACCGCCCAGCGCTCGGCGTCCTCACCCCCTTCCCCAGTGTTTGATTTGCCGCCCACTCTGTTCATAGCCTTAGCCAACGTCGTATGCGCCTCCAGGGATATGGAGCCGAAAGACATGGCACCTGTAGGTCATCATAAGTGTCAAGTCAATAGGTTAGTGAAAACTCAACGGACAGTCATTTCGGAGGACATACCGGTCACGAATCGTTTGACTATATTGACGGCCGGCTCAACATCGGCCACAAGTATAGGTCGCGGCGAATATATGAGTTCCAGTTGTCCTCTGAGGGCGCAGTCTTTGACCGCCCGGTTCGTGATCTCCACAAACTGTTTGTAGGCATTGGCGGAGTTGGCGGTCGCGGCGTCCTGGAGGTTGGCGATGGCCAGGGGGTCGTTGATGTGCTTCTCGCCCCCTGACCTCCAGTGATAAAACCCGGGGTTTCTTAATATCAGCGAATCCTGGAAATACTTCACATGGAAAGCGATTTTATGCCTCTCGAGCGCCTCGTTGGCCAACACCTCGAAGTTGGCCCCTCCTAGACGTGAGGCCGTGTTTTTGAAGCACTTGTCGATAACCTCTTCGCCCAGCCCTACGGCCTCGAAAATCTGTGCGCCTTTGTACGAGTGTAGGGTCGAGATACCCATCTTCGCCATCACCTTCGAGATACCCCTTTCCATGGCGGCCACGTAGTTGTTGTAGACGTCCGAGTCGGTCAACTCGAGTAGGCCTTCCTCCCGGAGCGCCGCCATTGTCTCGAACACCAGGTATGGACAGATAGCGTCGGCCCCATAGCCTAATAGGACGCACATGTGGTGCACTTCGCGGGCTTCGGCCGTCTCCGATATGAGTCCCACTTTCATGCGCTGCCGGGCGTTGATTAGGTAGTGATGGGTCGCTCCTAACGCCAGTAATGCACTGCAAATAGACATCACTTGAGATTACTGGCCAAACAGTGGCGGACAGGGATGTCATACCTGACGGGCACAAACTTAGGGCCGGCCTTTCGGTCGCTCAGCACCACAATAGTGTAGCCCTGTTTGGCCGCATCGCAGGCCTCCACACAAATCCTGTCCAACGCCTTCAGGAGTCCTGATTTGCCATCGATTATAGGGAACACACAGTCGATCACTTTGGTCTTCCAGCCCTTGTAATTGGTTTCTTTGATTATCTCCAAGTCGTTGATGGAGAGTACGGGTTGTTCGAGCCATAGGCGCCGGCATTGCTCTGCCGAGGACTCCAGTATGTTGGCCTCGGGGCCCACCGGACAGGCCAGTGACATGACTATCTTCTCCCTAAAGGGGTCAATGGGAGGGTTCGTCACCTGTGCGAACAGTTGCTTGAAGTAGTCGTAGATCAGGGGCTGACAGAGGGACAGGCAGGCGAGTGGGGCGTCGTTTCCCATCGAACCCAACGCCTCTTTTCTGTAACGAAAATCATATTTGATGTCAAAAACCACTTCACAGACACTACACACTCAAGACATCATCACTCACTCGGTCTTAACCATCGGTAGTATCAATAGATTAATAGTTTCCGTGGTGTAGGCGAACAGCGCCAGACGCCTGTCCTCCAGCACTTTAGCCCTCCCGTGAACGTCGTCTTCGCTGCGACCCTCCAGTAGGACAGCCCTCCGTCTGAACCCTTTGAGGGACGTGATGTGGGCGCTCCTGAGGTCATCCAAACTGAACATCTCTTTGAGCCAACTCTCGAGCGGTCGCTTCCGGGCGATCGTCAGCTTCACCTCTTCGTCGCGCGCGAAGACCTTCTCCTTCGTGTCGATCAAAAGCATTCTTCCGGGACGGAGACGACCCTTAAGGCGACAATTGGTGTCAGTTTGCAGTCATTTAAAGGTCACCGAAATGTGAGATTCATTTCAAAGTAATTAGCTTTTGATGTATGAATGGAAACGGATGACTGGGAATTGGCTACTGGTGCGCAAAGCTATTAACTAATCCCTATGGCTGTGAACACACTATTGAAATGTGTGTGTGTTAACGCTTATGTAGTTTTCGTTATTGCCCTGTTTAATTAGTTCTTCATTACTGGATATTTAATTACAAACATTTGTCTTTCATTTTTAGCAAATTAATTTTCGACTTTTAGATAGGCTTTCAAATTAGACTTCACTTTTGACTTTTGCATAGATTAGCCAAAATAAATGCTAACATTTTTGTTAATTAATTATAAAAAACAGATACAAAACTTCAATCATTTGTACAGAAATTGAAACTAATGCTAACTTTTACGACAACTTCCTGTCTAACCCTAACCACAAAATTGGGAAAAAATCACTAAAAATCCATACCTTTTGCAGTATATTATCATTATTCACGTCGACGACCCCCACTTCGGACGCCATTATCACATAACCATCGATGGTATGATAATAACGCGATGGTCTCAACCCATTCCTGTCCAGAATGGCACCGATATATCTGCCATCCGTGAACGTCAGTAACGCCGGGCCATCCCAGGGCTCCATCGCACAGCCTGACCACTGGTAAAACAATTTCTTATCCGGGTTCATTAGCGGATCATTTTGCCATGCCTCGGGAACCATTGTCATCACCGCTTCCGGCAAAGACCTACCGCCGGCTGTCACCAGGAATTCCAGCACATTGTCCACCGAACCCGAGTCAGACATGTCGGGCTCGACCACCGGATACAGTTTGGACAGATCTTTGCCAAACTTCTTGGACTTCATGACCCCCTCGCGAGCGCGCATGAGGTTCACGTTACCCCGGAGCGTATTGATCTCGCCATTGTGGGCCAGGTATCTCAACGGGTGAGCCCTTTCCCACGAGGGGTACGTGTTGGTCGAGAACCTCGCATGGACTATGGCCAGGTAGCTCTCGAATGTCTGCTCCTGGAGGTCGATAAAGTAGTCCCATAGCTGTTGCGGTGTGAACTGACCCTGTATATTCACACAAATCATACATGAAATTCGGGTTAATATAGTCGAGAATATACGACAATAAGTGGTTATATAGTAATGAATAAAATAAAAATATGTGTAAAACTTATTTGGGAACAAACGCTTTGAGTGACAGATAATCGTCGCCACGGAATCCCTCCGTCACTACAGGAACTCCTTTCATGTCTCACAACACATTGAGTCACAACAACCTCTCATTATACAGGAATCCCATTCTCAACACAATTTTCTCTTCATAATAAGTACATCCCTAAGGAAACACACAATTATATCCAGCATATCGTCTGCACATAAGAAATGGTTCTCAAAATAT